CCCCCCCCCCCCAAAACGCCGCAGGGGAGCAAACGGAGCAAGCCACGGAGAAGGCGGGTAGCAAAGTTTGGGTCGCGCAGACCGGAGCGAGCGGCCTGGTGGAGGCGGCCGAAGGCGCCCCAGACACGGACCTCAGCCCGCGTGGACGCGTTTCTCTGGTACCGGGTCTGCGAGCCGAGCGCGGCCAGGGGTGGCCCCGAGGCTCCCCCGGCTTCACCCCCCGCGGGGCGCCCGGCACCTGGAGACCCAGCGAGGTGGAGACCGGGTCTGAGATGGGTGGTGGGTCCCCCCTGAGGCGGGAGCCGCCGGCCCTGCCCCCTCCCTGCTGCGCGCCTGCCGCGGCCCCGGCGCTACTCACTCCGGTTCAGGGGGTTCCCGCCGACCTGGGCCGACGCCGCCAATTCCAGATAAAGAGTCCAGAGCCCCACGGACACCACGGCGAGCAGCAGCAGCAGCCGGAAGCGCCTCCGCAGCAGCTTGACCGGGCGCAGCAGCAGCAGCAGCCGCGCGGCCCGGGGGCCCCCCATGGCGCTGCGCCCCTGGCCCCGGCCCGGCCCCGGCCAGCTCTCAGCGCCGCGCCCCGGCTGCCCGCCCAGGCCGCCCCGCCGCGGGGCGCCGGCTCATGCTCCTCCCGAGGCCCCGCCGGCTCCTGCCCACGCCCGGACGCGGGCTTGCTGCCGGCCGCCCCGCCGCTCCTCACTCGCCGCCAGCTCTCGGGCTGCCCACGAGGAGGCTACCCAGGTGCACCGCCCCGCCCGCGCCCGCCCCGCCCCCGCGCGCGCCTCCCGCGCCTCCCGCGCCTCCCGCGCCTCCCGCGCCTCCGCCCGCCCACCTGCCCCGCCCCCGGCCCCGCCCTGCCCCCGCGGCACAGGTGGGCCCCGCCCCCGAGCGGAGCCGGGAGGGGGTCGGCCGCTCGGGCCTCGCTGGTCAATTCCCGGCGCCTCCGCCTGCCGGGGGTGCGTGGGGCAGGTATGATCTGCACTCTGCTCCCCAAGCACGAGTGAGGTCGAAGCTTTGTAGACGCGGGGCGCGGGGCGGGGGCAGTGTTGGGGAGGCTGCGGCTTGGGGCGTTTCGTGGCCCGCAGCGACCCTACTCCTGCCTTAGAGTAGACATCGGAGCTGGGGAACCCTGGCGTCTCAATTCAGCCGCGGTCCCCTCTCCCAACCACATCTCCAAGAGACCCTGGGAGAGTTGTACGGCCCCCGGGGTGAACCCAAGTAGTTGCTCCCAGACGAGGATGACAGAGCCTGGGGGGAGAATGGATGTTGGAGTGTTCTGAGGAAAAATTACAAATCAGAAAATAAACCAACAAAACGACAACAACAAAAACACAAACTCACTCCTAGAGTTAAAAAAGTTCATCAAGATATTCTGAATTCCAGTTCTCTGCCTTCAGGCAGGTAAAACATTATTATCTGATTTAAATGAGAGAATTAAGGTCCAGAGGAGCACAGTGGACTGCCTAAGGTCATTCATCTTCATCGGGGAACACTGCAGTTTTCTTTTTTGCTTCTTCTCCTGGGGACAATGCTCAGGAGACTATGGAGAAAGCAGGGGGTCAAAAGCATTCCCGGACATTTTAAAGCCAAATGAACAGCATGCAAATACTGTTGAAACACAGCTGTTCACATAACTGAGTGGTTTACCCTTCCCTCTGCTACCACTGTAGCTGGATGTCCAACCATCCCATAGGCCCTACTGGACTATTGGAACTTTTCTAATTAGCCCCCCAACTCCGGGCTCCCCACCTGCCACCCCCCCCAATCTGCTCCACTACCACCAGATCATCTTCATAAAATCCTCTATGCATCCATACACCTGCTCGAAAATGTGCTTACTGGTTAAAGCGCAAACTGTAAATGTGGCATTCAAGGCCTTCCGAAACCTTTTCCAACTTTACGTGGCCATGTGAAAGCTGCTGCAGCTAAAATGAGTTTATTCACCCCCTCCAACACATTTTCCTTTCCAGCTGGTTCAGTTGGTCAGGTCTGACCCCTCCAAGGTCCATTTCAGGTCTATGAAGCTTTCCTGGACCTGCCCAGTCCTGAGCAACCCCATCCTCCTTGGAGCTTTAGCACAACTGGCAGCCTGATGTGTATCCACCCACTGGTAGGTGCACACTCACTTTGAGTTTGAGTATAGTCTCCCAACTTCCCTGTAAGGCTTCAAAAGTAAGAACTGAAAAACAAATATCGTATATTAATGCATATACGTGGAATGTAGAGAAATGGCATAGATGATCTTATTTGCAAAGCAGAAATAGAGACATAGAGAATAAACAAACAAACGTATGGATACCAAGCGGA